GATTGGCAACCAATAGAGAACTTGATGATCCCTCAAAATATAAATGCTCTAAATGAAGTTAGTTTGATGAAGAAACAAAGTTCATTGAGCTGAGGGATAATTGAGATAAGAGAAGGGAGAGGTGTATGATATAGTGAGTTAGTTGTTAATGATTGTCACACCGGTGACTTATATAACAATAAGAGATATTAATGAACTAACTTACTAAAATGTCACAGTTACGAGTCATATTGACTATGTTTTGGACAAAATCTTATCTCCCTTGTCTTATTATGATGATACAATGTGACTCCTAGTGTTCCTCCTAGTTTAGATGAGTGATGTGCAACTGGAGGATGAAGGACAGTTTTCTGGACTGCTAGATGATGGAGGAGACCATGGAACTGTCCCTGGGGAACTAGTGTTGAGTGAGGAGCTACAAGGACTGGAAAGTTCAGCTCATACACTACATACAAGGAAATGTCCGTCAGTAAAGGATGTGAATTCAGTAGTAGTAGTTTTACCCATGACCCAAGGGGACCATACTACATGTAATTATCAAGGATGTAGAGCTTCTGGATTATCAAGTTAGATCCCTTATTTACCAGGCGAATTCAGGTAGCAGCTGTGTCTCAGACAACCTGTTTTCACCATTGGATTGTGCAGTTTGTTATGAGATCATTTTTTTTTTTAAAATTAATCAAGTTGCAGGAAATAATAAGAAGGAATTATTGCAGATCTAAATTAAAAAATAGATGGAATAAGGCCTTGAGGAGTAATTTCTAAATGCACAAGATTTAAAAAGATCCCAAGTTGGCAGAAAGTTTAGGAATTATGGGCAGATAGGTAAGAGACTTAATCCCCGATTAGACCAACCCGCTTCTACAAGAAAGGTGTAACTGGATATTCTAGATAATGAGGCAGTAAGAAGATTACAAGAACCCTACCTAGTCAGTCTTGATTTAGTGGATTCCAGGATCAGGATGAGGTTACAGTGTGTTCAGCCCTAGAGCAGGGAGAACCTGTTGAGACTGACTTCAATTCTGTCCCCATAAGCAACCACTTCCACCTGGGGCAAAAGTGTTGGTTACTATGAGTGGAAACAGCTGCTGTCGACTCCCACGCAGCTGAGATGGAGAACATTGAGTGTAAGGATGGATTCAGCAGGGCCCTGGGTAACATTGGTAAGATCTAAGTCTTTGTTTTCGACCGCATCTGGAGTCTCTGGATTCAATTCAAGGTATTTATGAAATTGCTTCAAAACTTCCTGATCTATCAGCACTTACAAAGATACAGGAAGGCCAAGCAAATTGTGTCATCATTCGTTTTTAGAAGGTGATACTACAATTTCTTAAACACTTTTTGCCCAAAATGATCTCTGAAATAGATAAGTCTGGGCTATAGTCACAATATATTGAAAGATTCTAACATTCATCTCCAGATAGAATGCTCACAAGTTTAATTCTCCTTTTAAGTTCCAGTATTTGCTGTCTCCAAAATATGCTGATATAAGTTATGAAATATAATTGAAACCGTTAGTTAAGCCTGCACTGTTGCTTGAAGAGTTCAAATTTGTAGTTGGCAGCAGATATTTTGTCTGCAATTATGATGTGTCACATATCTTAGTTTAAAGCAAGGGACTATGAGGGCAGTTCAGAAGTAGACAGATGTTTGCATATGCTATATTAAGGATCATATTCCCTGTACAACTCATTTTGGAAATGTTGTTGAAAGCCCTAAAAACTAAAAGCCCAGCTATGAAGCAAGCCACTAATAATGCTTCATGGTAGTATGATGACAGCATATTCTTCCCCCTCTTTTTCTCCTCTGGTTTGTTTGATGAACAAACATTAAAGGTTAAGTATAGATCAGCTGTTGAGCAAGCTATTACACATTGTTCCTATAGGAGTTCTAAGAGACCTTGAAATTTAAAGGAGGAAGGGTCTAGGTAACAGACCAGCTGCTAGGTTCAGTTATCAACCTAGAGGAAACTTTTGGAGGAGGAAACAATTCAAGACGTAGTAAGGGTGGCCGTTTGTTGAAGTGGAAGGAGACCTTATTCCACCAATAGCAACCACTCCGTCCAATGAAGCCAGACAGCGGGTCGTCTAGGGGTTAACAGGTGGACTTTTCCATATGGGCCATAAGATAAATCAACAAAGGGCCTCACATGGACTTGGTTGGAGGCCTCCCCAGTTTTACTAATAAGGGGTCACCAAAACCCAACCCCTTACTCACAGAATTTGTAATTCAACTGTTAAAACAAAGGTGATATAGAACTGTTGCAGCCATATAAATGTTTCATGTCTCTGTCTATTCTCATCCCCAGGAAAGGCAGCGACAAATTGAGGTGGATTAGATCTTTCCGGTCCTGAACAAGTTCACATTACCAACAGTTTTAAGATGCCTATTATCATGCCGTTGCTCCCAGGCACAGAAGGTTTCTAGTGTTCGCAGTGGGGGATGTAAGTTATCGACCACAGTGATGCCATTCGGCCAATAATTGTCAAAAGTAAGTTTATAAACTACATCACCAGAGAGATCCATGCAAAGAAGGGCATAAGAACTTCTACACTATCTAGACGGTTGCCTGATAGTGGGAAACTCTTACGGAGATTGTCAAAGGGTTTAATTCCAATGTACACTAGTACTATTTCAAAAGGCAGTTCTGATCAAGTTAGAGACTCCATTTCTTTACTATAATAATCCAGAATAGTTTATCTAAAAGTCTAGTAAAATCAATATATTTGAAAATTATATTTATGATATGGACATGAATGAAGCTGTGTTAAAGACTGGCATTTTTCACTCCCATGGAGCTGTGGGAGATTAGTGGGTCTCGTGTAACTGACCTGACCTGACTCATGTCAGGTGGAGGGAGGGGGATTAGTGGTCTCATATTACTGACCTGATGGAATGTCAGGTCACCCTTCTTGGGTGGGGACGAGTGGGTTTCATGACCTGAAGATGTCTTGAATAAACACGAAACATAAGAACATAAGAACATAAGAATGGAGGAAACTGCAGCGGGCCTATTGGCCCAACCGGGCAGTCCCGTTTACACCCAACCCCTATTGCTCATATAAGCATCCAACCTATGTTTGAAGCTATTAAGCGTATTCGAGTTCATGATGATATTTGGTAACTTGTTCCATTCATCCACCACTCTGTTTCCAAACCAGTGTTTACCTATTTCCGCCTAAATCTAAATTTGTCTAATTTAAAACCATTGTTACGAGTTCGCTCCTGGTTGGATAGTTTGAGTACCTTTGTAATGTCCCTTTGTTTAGCCCTGACTTCCACTTGTACACCTCTATCAGGTCGCCCCTCGCTCTACGTCCCACGAGGAGTGCAAATTAAGATGCTTTAACCTGTCTCTATACTCAAGGTTCCTAATGCCCGGATTAGTCTTGTCATTCTCCTCTGAATTCTTCCAAGGATTCTATATCCATTCTGTAATACGGTGTGACTGAACTGCGTAATCCAGGTGTGGTCTCACAAGAGCAAGATACAGTTTTAGGATGACCTCGCTAAGCTCTGTAACTCACTCCTTGTATGAACCCAAGTACTTTATTAGCCTTACTGAGCAAAAACACATTGTTTACTTGGCTTAATGTTCCTACTTATCATTACTCCAAATCTCTCGTGAGTCGGATTTCTATGGCATCGTTGTTCATCTGGTATCTGGTTTCCCTGTTTACATCTCCTATACTGAGTACTTTACATTTGTCCACGTTGAATTTCATCTGCCATTTTTCAGACCTGAATTCTAATACCCTACCCAAGAAAGGGTGACCTGACATTCCATCAGGTCAGTAATATGAGACCACTAATCCCCCTCTACCCTACCTCCACCTGACATTGCTCCATTAGAGTGAAAAATAACAGTCTTTGCTGTAACACAGCTACATTCATGTCCATATCATATAGATTTTAAATTTTGAAATATATTTATTCAACCAAACTTTTAGAAAAACTTTTCTGGATTATTATATACTGTAGTAAAGAAATGGAGTTTCTAACTTAATTAGAACTGCATTTACGAACTCCGGTAGTTTAGACTAAAGGAAACATCCTCAGCACTCAGAAATATTCTGGGTAAGTGGGCTAGTGTGCGTCTGTGCAAGAGGTCTAGCTTAGATACTAGGAAACTTTTCCCAGTAACTGAAAAGATTCTGGGGATAAGGAATTTTTCCAGGTTTGAGAAAATCGTCTGGTTACCTGGAAATCTTTCATCCTTGGAAGTGTTCTGCACCAATTGTTCCGGCTAATGGGGATATCACTTATTTGTAAGTGAAATGTAAATAATTCTACATACTATATTTAAGATAGCAAACTTTATAGTAGGGATAAGTATGAATATCTGTTTATTCATTGGCTTTCCTTTTAATAATGAACTTACCTCATTGTGTACAATTTTATCTGAAGTTTTAATATTGATATATTTTAAATTGTTTTATAATTCATATATTGGCTCATACACCATCTCACCAGCACTCTCTCTAATTTAGACAAGAATTTTTTTAGAGAAAATATTAGATTAGAATATTTTCTGAACAGAAACAATAGATGTGATTTAATATTCTAAGTGTTCTCATCCAGCCCGAACCAGAACCCGCACACTGATCACCTCCCTTCCACCCGCTTAATGAAGGAAGGAGTGTGAGACTTTGAGCATTCTTAATTTCCTCCTTGAGAGAGACCATATGATACCCAAAGCACATCTAGGCCAATCATTCATCATGTCAGTTTATCAATGAATGAGAATTTTTAAAAGTAATTAATACTGTACCTAATATCCTGTACTTCAACAGAGGAGGAATGTGAAACATAATTTCTAACATTTATAAACAGATGTTAACATTAACAAATTAATCTTGTCTAACTTCCTTTTCCCTAATTGTAGGAGGAGGTTGAGTTCAAAACACTTCAAACATCCTTCACCTTAATGCAAGAGAAGAGGAAGTTAGATTCACCACTATCTGTGTTTTGTTAATGAGGTTCATGTTTCCCTCCCACAGCTGTCGCGCACCTTGGTAAGTGGGGGACCTACTTGTGGAGGGTCCCTGTACTCCCCTGGACGGCACAACCCCTCCCCGCCTCTGCCTCAGTCCTCAGGTCAACAACGGGTGTCCCAACAGCTGTGTCTCTCTCTCACTCTCCATTTACTGTCTCGTCTTTGTCGTGCCGGATTGACTTAATTATTTGTGGTCTTTGCGTCCATTTCTTTGTGGTCTTTGGCGTCCATTTCTTCGTGGTTCCGATGTCTCTTCTGTGGTCTCTGGCGTCCCTCTTGTTGCTCGCACACGTGTAGTAGTGTTACAAGAGTCTTGACTTTTTTATTGTTTCCTGTTAGCCTGTGTGTGTTACTGCTCTTGAGGTCCTGTCATATATTTTTCTATATTATAGATCATGAATGGATTTTTTTTTGTAAATTGTTAGATATTTCAGTGTCCAAATACTTGTTTTGTGTGATTTTATTGGGTGATATTGTCATTATATTCTGCTCAGTGTAATTTGTTTTTTATAATCTTGTGTATCTTTTGCTAACATTCTTATAACAGAATGGAGATCCTCCTCATTTCTTTACACTGTATAACTAATTTTTTTTAATAACCTATTATGTCTCCTGACTGTTTAGGTAACTGGATACAATTGACCTCTTGCCAACTTAACTAAATCTTTCTGGAGGTGTACCATACCATCACATTTTCCTCTCACCACACAAGTATCTGTGAGACACACTGGAGTCTTCAGAGTAACCTGTTGAACTTTATGAAGGTGAACTCTTGCCCCCTTAATTCACAAATATACTTTTTTTTCCTCTGGTTGGTGTTTTTATTTTGATATTGTTAGGGGATTTGTATTGTGACTCTCTCTCTACATATATGTCTTTATTTACCAGTAACGATTTACTTATTATATTTATGCTGGGCGGGCTTCCCACATTTCTTCTAGTCATGACGTGAGTCTTTGTAAGAATTTTTTTAAAGAATATTGATTACGGTATATTATCACTGAAGAAACATAGTTCTCTTAACTTTATTTATAAAGGTCCGATTCCCCTTAATTCTGTATAGTATTTTATTTTTCTTTCCTGTCCATCCACTCACATTTTTTCCCTAATGTCTTGTCTTCATAAATTTGTAATGAATGTCGTTCACCTTATGAACTAATGTGCTCAAATATCTTGGTTGTCCAAGCACAGTTACATATAAACAAGAAGTCTTCAAGAAGAAGGGTAATTTTTATCAGAGTTTGGTTTACTGTACTCTGGGCAGTGTTGTGTGAAGGCAGTATGAATCTTCTTGCCTTCCAACTTCTCGTGGCATTATGAAGGCTGTTGGGAGGTTTTAGTAGATACTTTCTGCTGATACTGAAGAGGTTTCTATTCCTCCCCTTTGATCTTCTTTACCTTGGTTATGTTGCTCAAGATAATGTCCACAATCTGTAAAGTACAGTGTTTGTAATTGCATACATCTTCCATTCAGTCGTGTGTAATAGTCTTTTTAATGTCCATGTCTGAGAAACGTTTAGCACTGTAATTTTGAAGTAAGTCAATTTATTTTCCAGTAACTGCTGTAAAAAATAATATTTAGTGATTGCCAACGTTCAGAGTCACATCTGTTCTCTGTTTCAGAGGTTATCAATTTAATTTGGTAACTTAAATATTGTCTTCATCACAGATTTTACATCCCGCCCTCATTGACCAGAGTGTCACTCAACACAAGGCAATGCCTGTAATGTGTTTCTTATGGTTTTGAAATTTCTTTCCCTGGAGGGAAACATAAAACAGTCTTCCCCTTCACTGACTGGCCTTTCTATGAATCTTACGTTTCCTCAGCCTCATGTCCTTTTGTGTTACTTCTCAGCTTAGTGTCCTTTTGAGGTACTTCGCCTCAGCTTAGTGTCCTCCTAGGGTACTTTTCCTTGGCTTAGTGCCCTCCAGGGGTACAGGTTTATGGATGTTAAGATTGTTTTGTTTTATTGGATCAAGTTTAGTGATCAGTGTGTTCATCTTGACCGTATCGTCTATGGCTTTTCCATATTTCAATGTTGGTCGCTGTCTACAACCTGCTGACTGAGGCACTGGAGGCACCTGCTGGTGTAGCTGAAAAGAATTTGATCTTTGAGGTGTAAAAGTATTTGATCTAATATTAATCCTTTTTATTCCTATGTAGAAAAATATTTGATCTGAATTCAAAACGTATTTAAGCTAGAGCTAATTTCTTTTGAACTTCAGCCCCCAAAACTGTCGTTTTATTGTGCCACTGGTGTGAGTAGTGAAACCACTAAATGAGTTAAAGAATAACAAGACATTCACTGTGGACTTAGAAATACAAGGTTATTAGATAACCAGAATCATAATACAATATACTGTAATATCAAATCTGTAATAATACAGTACTGTACTGCATAATGGAGTACAGTATTTAGTCATAAACTAAAGTATCAGATGCTTTTCCAGTACACCTGTGCAAGGCTCCTCCACTGAGCTCACTCTCATTAACCTTCCCTGACTCCTTTTCCCTTATCAACTGACCTTCCTTATTTACGAGTCTTCACATGGTTGCTCTACATAATTTAATCTTCTTAAAATGATAGTACTGTATAGTCTTATCTCATTAGCTTGTATGTATTCTTTTAATTGTCTTAGTTAACCTAATGCATCTAATTATTCATGATTAAATTAGTTTTGTGTTACTATCATGCTGGTTTAACCTAGTTATTGTAATGCAACAGTTGAACCTTCTTAGTAAAGTAGTTCTTTGTAGCCTCATTTACTTAGTATACTATTTAATATTTACTAATTATTACATATATTACTGTAGTGTTATTTGTCTACTTTTCTTATTTAGTCATTGTTCATAACAATACAGTAGTTGTCCTTGTTAGCAATTTCTTATAACTATTTGTAAGTGAATTTTACTCTTTAATAGAGTTTCTTTCATGTTGGTGTAAAGTGGCTTTAGAGAAAAAATTTTCTTTTGAAACTATCCCTTAACTATTGCTCTTCCCCTTAACTATTGCTCTGCCCTTTAGCTATTGCTCTGCCTCTTAACTATTGCTTTGTTCCCTTAACTATTGCTCTGCCTCTTAACTACTGATCTACCCCTTAACTGTTGATCTGCGAAAACTCCGAACCATCGAAGCCGAGGTTAAAAAAAGACATAATAATGCATAAAATGTTCTATTACTGATACCAATACAACTTACATCAGTATACATCTAGCCCAGGCTTACTGACAAAGTGTTAGTGCTATACCACAACTTTACTGTACTGCGACTCAGAAATAAGTACATTAGCAGAGAAAGCAAAGAGAGAATTGTATATTATAGGTCTACTGATACCTGGAAACTACCGACAGCCAGTTTCAAACACTGTCCCGAACCATCGAAGCTGCCGTACTATCGGGTCCCGGATTAGCGGGGTCCAACCTGTACTACTTTACCAATAGTTACTGTAAATGAATGAAAATGGATGAGTAAATGATCTAAAAACACTATAGTGATATCTTGTATTGGAACAACTCAAGATGTAAATTTAGGAGAAGCTACAGTACAAGAATACCGGAAAAATTAAAATTCAGGATTTTATATATATATATATATATATATATATATATATATATATATATATATATATATATATATATATATATATATAATATTAATGAAATGTTTTGCTTGTATTATTCAGGTGAGTACAGTCTGTACTCACCCCTGAATTACACGAAAGCTCTTGGGAACTTTGTGTTTTCTTCTTTCCTTGTGGTTATCAGCATATACCTAGATCACGCGCACCTACAGTGATATATATATATTATTTATTTTTTCATTTTTTTATTTATTTATTAATTTATTTTATTTATTTTTTCTTGGAGACCCCAACATTGATTGTCTCATATCTTCATTTTCTCTTTAGTTAGTAGAGTTCTGAGTGTCATTCATTTTCTCCCAGTGATCCTCAGTGGTGGTGTTATGCCTTTACAGTACAGGTGCTCCTCTACTTACGAACGAGTTACGTTTCTGAGACTTGTTTGTAAGTCCAACTTACTCTTGTAGATACCAAACATATTGTAAAAATTGAAAAGATTATGGATATTTAGTGCAGCTATACCCTTTAATACAGCCTTAAAACCTGGCTCACTCTTCTCCTCATTGGTAATGTTTGTTCTATCTGGAATTTCCTTCAAAATAATCCAGTCTCATCCACATTAAACACCTGTTCTGGCAGGTAACCCCCTTCAGTGATGATGTTTGTATCTCTGAAAGTTTGTAAGTTGAACGTTCATAAGTAGAGGAGCACCTGTACTTGTCTTAGAACCATAATAATACACCAGGGAAGCAGTGAATATGAAAAAACCCAGATTCCATAGTGTGGAGCAGTGGTCGCAATTATAAACATGTGGGAACTGAGGCCTCACCCAATTGCCACCTCACATAACTGCCCCTAAGCCAGAAATCTTCCAACATATGGGGGTTCCAACTTACGAAGTTTGACTTAGAGGGGTCTTACTATATGAAAAATAAAATTTAGAAATAATTGGCAAAATAGCGACAATTTGTGTTTTTCACCCAATCCATGAATTCCTACTGGCTGACCCATTACAGTATTTGCAAAATTATTTCTTGACCACTAAGTCATCTCCCCTCTGGTTAATAAATTTTCATGACTATTAAAATTTTCCCTCATTTACTGTTCAGGTTATATTAATTTCCCCTCTCATATACTGCCCAGATTAGGTTAGGTTAATTTCCCCCTTCATATTTTGCCCAGATTCATTGATCTGCCACTTATTTATAAAGTTTATTCCCTCATTATTATATGAAACTCATGTATCCGTTCTTATATGACTAATGCATCCGTTCTTATGTGACTAATATATCTCGTATTGTATGAAATTAGTATATCCGTTATTTAGAAAGCCGACTTACCCCATATTAATGAAGCTGCCCTTGACAACTAAATGAGAAAATTTAATTGTGGACATAATTTTAATACATTAATCTACCCCTTAGCCTTTGATCTACC